TCTCCTAAGCCGCATACAGTGTCTGGTAGGCCTGGGCCATGCGTAGCCAAATTAGAGGGACTAGGATAAAGACTGCCATTTTCAGTGATTTATGGGTAACTTATAGGGAGTAGGGTTATTACTGTTAAACCCTATGTGGGTAAGAGACTCTGGGTTAATATCTGTTATCTCCAGTGTGTTGCGCATGACAAACTCAGAGGTACTAAGGTAATTACTGTTATCCTCAGTGCACTATGGGTAATCAACTTACGGAGGTAATTACTGTTTTCCCAGTGTATTATGGGTAAGAAACTCGGGAACTAGGGGAATTACTGTTATCCTCAGTGCACTATGGGTTATGAACTTACGAAGGTAATTACTGTTATTCTTAGTGTATTATGGGTAACCAACTTGAAGGGACACAGGCGATTACTGTTTTCCCAGTGTATTATGGTAAGAAACTCGGGAACTAGGGGAATTACTGTTATCCTCAGTGCACTATGGGTAATCAACTTACGAAGGTAATTACTGTTATTCTTAGTGTATTATGGGTAACCAACTTGAAGGGACACAGGCGATTAGTGTTTTCCCAGTGTATTATGAGTAACTCGGGAACTAGGGAAATTACTGTTATCCACAGTGCACTATGGGTAATGAACTTACGGAGGTAATTACTGTTATTCTTAGTGTATTATAGGTAACCAACTTGAGGGGACACAGGCGATTACTGTTTTCCCAGTGTATTATGGTTAAGAAACTCGGGAACGAGGGAAATTATTGTTCTCCACAGTGCACTATGGGTAATGAACTTACGGAGGTAATTACTGTTATTCTTAGTGTATTATGGATAACCAACTTGAAGGGACACAGGCGATTACTGTTTTTATAGTGTATTATCGGTGACAAACTCGGGGGCTGGAGTAATTACTGTTATCCTTCGTGCACTATGGGTAATGAACTCATATAGGTTATTACTGTGCAGTCTTATTTACCAAATGATTGTCAGACTGTGTAGTCTCATTTACCAAATGATTGTCAGACTATGCAGTATTATATACCAAATGGTTGTCAGACTGTGTAGTCTCATTTACCAAATGATTGTCAGACAGTGTAGTCTCATTTACCAAATGATTGTCAAACTGTGTAGTCTCATTTAACAAATGTTTGTCAGACTGTGTAGTCTCATTTACCAAATGATTGTCAGACTGCGTAGTCTCATTTACCAAATGATTGTCAGACTGTGTAGTCTCATTTGACAAATGATTGCCAGACTATGTAATCTCATTTACCAAATGGTTGTCAGACTGTGTAGTCTCATTTACCAAATAATTGTCAGACTATGTAGTATTATTTACCAAATGATTGTCAGACTGTGTAGTCTCATTTACCAAATTATTGTCAGACTGTGTAGTCTCATTTACCAAATGGTTGTCAGACTGTGTAGTCTCATTTACCAAATGGTTGTCAGACTGTGTAGTCTCGTTTACCAAATGATTGTCAAACTGCGTAGTTTCATTTACCAAATGATTGTCAGACTGTGTAGTCTCATTTACCAAATGGTTGTCAGACTGTGTAGTCTCATTTACCAAATGATTGTCAGACTGTGTAGTTTCATTTACCAAATGATTGTCAGACTGTGTAGTCTCGTTTACCAAATGATTGTCAGACTGTGTAGTCTTATTTACCAAATAGTTGTCAGACTGTGTATTCTCATTAACCAAATGATTGTCAGACTGTGTAGTATTATTTACCAAATGATTGTCAGACTGTGTAG